CCCATGCAGATCTCCTCTAGAGCAGTGATGGTTTGGGGCTGTCGCTGGGTAACACGGACTTACAACTCCCTCCAAAGGTTTTAAATGGGGTTGAGATCTGGAGACTGGCTAGGCCACTCCAGGACCTTGAAATGCTTCTTATGAAGCCACTCCTTCATTGCCCGGGCGGTATGTTTGGGATCATTGTCATGTTGGAAGACCCAGCCATGTTTCATCTTCAATGCCCTTGCTGATGGAAGGAGGTTTGCACTCCAAATCTCACGATACATGGCCCCATTCATTCTGTCCTGTACATGGATCAGTCGTCCTGGTCCCTTGTGGAGAAACAGCCCCAAAGCATGATGTTGCCACCCCCATGCTTCACAGTAGGTATGGTGTTCTTTGGATGCAACTCAGCATTCTCTCTCCTCCAAACACGATGAGTTGTGTTTCTACCAAACAGTTCTATTTTGGTTTCATCTGACCATATGACATTCTCCCAATCCTCTTCTGAATCATCCAAATGCTCTCTAGCAAACTTCAGACGGGCCCGGACATGTACTGGCTTAAGCAGGGGGACACGTCTGGCACTGCAGGATCTGAGTCCCTGGCGGCATAGTGTGTTACTGATGGTAGCCTTTGTTACGTTGGTCCCAGCTCTCTGCAGGTCATTCACTAGGCCCCCCGTGTGGTCCTGGGATTTTTGCTCACCGTTCTTGTGATCATTTTGACCCCACAGAGTGAGATCTTGCGTGGAGCCCCAGATCGAGGGAGATTATCAGTGGTCTTGTATGTCTTCCATTTTCTAATTATTGCTCCCACAATTGATTTGTTCACACCAAGCTGCTTGCCTATTGCAGATTCAGTCTTCCCAGCCTGGTGCAGGTCTACAATTTTGTTTCTGGTGTCCTTCGACAGCTCTTGATCTTCACCATAGTGGAGTTTGGAGTGTGACTGTTTGAGGTTGTGGACAGGTGTCTTTTATACTGATAACAAGTTCAAACAGGTGCCATTGATACAGGTAATGAGTGCAGGACAGAGGAACCTCTTAAAGAAGAAAGTACAGGTCTGTGAGAGCCAGAAATCTTACTTGTTTGTAGGTGACCAAATACTTATTTTCCACCATAATTTGCAAATAAATTCTTTCCAAATCAGCCAATGTGATTGTCTGGATTTGTTTTTTCATTTTGTCTCTCATAGTTGAGGTCTACCTATGATGCCAATTACAGGCCTCTCTCATCTTTTTAAGTGGGAGAACTTGCACAATTGGTGGCTGACTAAATACTTTTTTGCCCCACTGTATAATGTACAATATAGTGTATGTAGTCAGGGGCGTATCTGCTGCGAGGCAAACAAGGCACTTGCCTTGGGTGGCATTTTTCAGGGGGGCGGCATCACCACCAGGCAGAAGGGACCAGTGCCATCTCATGTGTGCTCGGGCAGAGGGCGGGGCTCGGCTGTGTTTGGGAAGGGGGTGTGGGCTGGGCTTGGATGTGCTCAGGCGGGGGGGGGTGACTCGGTTGAGCTTGGACAGGGGGGGCGTTCTCATGTGTGCTCAGGCAGGGGGGGGGGCGTTCTTGGCTGTGCTCAGGCGGGGGGGGCGGCTCGGCTGTGCTCGGGAAGGCATGGCTGTGTTTGGGAGGGGGGGCAGACTTGTTTGTGCTCGGACTGGGTGGCATTCTCGTGTGTGTTCAGGCGGGGGGTGGCTTGCCACGCCACTGCCATGTGTTGTCACTGTCAGCTCCAATGGGGGCGTGGAAAGCACATGATTGGTTGCTAGGATATTGGCAGTCCTAACAACCAATCAGGTGCTTGCCCTGCCCCCAGGCCATGACATTAAGAGGAGGAGGAGGGCGGCAAGGACAGAACTTCTTCCAGCTCGTGTAGCTGCCTGGAGGAATGAATGGAATGGACCCTGAGATAAGGGGGGTTGGGGGGATACTGACCTTTTGGGATCCTAATGTAAGGAGGGAGGACTCTGGGAAACTTAATTTAAGGAGGGGGGCTGTGGGGGACCCTGATATAAGGGGATGGGCTATGGGGACTCTGTAGACCATGATGCACATAAAGTGGGGGGACTCTGGAGACCATGATTTTAAGGGGGATTCTGATTTATTGGGGGGGGGCTATTTGGACCCTAATGTTGAGGGGGGACTCCGGGGACTCTGATTTAAGGAGGGGGAACTTGCGGGCCCTGATGCAAGGGGAGGGGTTGTGGGGACCCTCTCCTGTATCCTGTCTGTAGTCTCTGACCTTCTCCTGGGGTGGAGCTCTAATAGGAAGAGGTGGTGCCTAAAGTGGAAGGGGTGGAGTTCACAGATGAAGGGGTGGGCCCTAAACAGGAAGGGGTGGGACAAATTTAGATGGGGGGTGTGATTTTAGTCTTGCCTAGGGCAGCACAAAAACCAAAATACGCTACTATATGTAGTGCTGGAGCCTGTTAAGTTGGACATATACATTTTTTTTCAGCCAACAGATTGTCAGGAGTCTGTGGCCGAGATGACCAGATCTGTGTGCTACACAAGGATACTGGGACCAAATAATGTATAACAAAGTACCGTATTTTCCGGCGTATAAGACGACTTTTCAACACAAGAAAAACTTCTGAAAAGTCGGGGGTCGTCTTATACGCCGGTATACGGCGAGCCGGTGTCAGGGCGGCACTTTTTCGAGGGGCGGGGCGGCGCGGCGCTGCCCCCCCCTTCCTCCTTCAACGGACACTAAGTACAGGGGTGGGCAGAGGGGCTGCTGTACCTTACCTGGCTCCAGTCCCGGTCCCACGACGATCCGGTCCAGGAAGCGCAGCTACTCCTTCTTTCAGTTTGGCTGCTCGATGGTCGCGCGGACCGCTCGCTCGCTCCGCCTCCTCACCGGTGATTGGGCGCCAGCACTGGAAAGGCACACAGGCGACCAATCACCGGCCAGGAGGCGGAGCCGAGCGGCCCTCGTGAAAATCTGAAAGAAGGAGCAGCCGCTGCTCTCCCCCACTGACACTAACGATGGGGCACTATTCCTCCTCCACACTGACACCAACGATGAGGCACTGTTCCTCCCCCACTGACACCAACGATGGGGCACTATTCCTCCTCCCCACTGACACCAATGATGGGGCACTATTTCCTCCTCCTCACTGACACCAACGATGGGGCACTATTCCTCCTCCCCACTGACACCAACGATGGGGCACTATTCCTCCTCCCCACTGACACCAATGATGGGGCACTATTCCTCCTCCCCACTGACACCAACGATGGGGCACTATTCCTCCTCCCCACTGACACCAACGATGGGGCACTATTCCTCCTCCCCACTGACACCAATGATGGGGCACTATTCTCCCCACTGATACCAATGCTGGGGCACTATTCCTTCCACTGATACCAATGATGGGGCACTATTCTCCCCACTGATACCAATGCTGGGGGCACTATTCCTCCCACTGACACCAATGATGGGGCGCAATTCCTGTCACTGATACCAATGCTGGGGCACTATTCCTTCCACTGATACCAATGATGGGGTGCTATTCCTCCCACTGACACCAATGATGGGACACTATTCCTCCCACTGACACCAATGATGGGGCACTATTCCTCCCACTGACACCAATGATGGGACACTATTCCTCCCACTGACACCAATGATGGGGTGCTATTCCTCCCACTGATACCAATGATGGAGCACTATTCCTCCCACTGACACTAATGGGGCACTATTCCTCCCACTGACACCAATGATGGGGCACGATTCTTCCCGCTGACATCAATGATGGGGCACTATTCCTCCCGCTGACACCAATGATGGGGCACTATTCTTCCCACTGACTAATGATGGGGCACTATTCCTCCACTGACACTAATGATGGGACACTATTCCTCACACACTGACACTAATGATGGGGCACCATCATTGGTGTCAGTGGGAGGAATAGTGCCCCATCATTAGTCAGTGGGAGGAATAGTGCCCCATCATTGGTGTCAGTGGATGAAATAGTGCCCCATCATTGGTGTCAGTAGGAGGAGTAGTGCCTCATCATTGGTATCAGTGGGAGGAATAGTGCCCCATCATTGGTATCAGTGGGAGGAATAGTGTCCCATCATTGGAATACCATACTGAAATAGCATACCATATTGAAATCAAATCTGATGTTTCTTCATTTTTATTTGGTGTGTGTTGGAAGAGGGGGGAGTCTTATACGGCAAGTATAGCTCAAACCCTATATTTTAACAGGAAAAGTAGGGGGTCGTCTTATACGCCCAGGTCGTCTTATACGCCGGAAAATACGGTAAATTAAATAACAGCAAAGCAAAAAGAGATGCACACACCAGCAAATAGGGAACATAAACAACAAGTGACCCATAACCAAAAATGCCTAAGTAACTGAAAACTAACAAACTAAATATATGTACAAAATATATACAATATGGGAAGCAAGGGTAACAGGAGCAATGCAAGAAACTTGGTAGGGGGGCAGTAATCGGGACTTGGTACAGGCACAAGGCAAGCAGCATTACATGAGTGAATTAGTAGAGAGAGGTTTAAGTAGCCTTCCAGCAGCTGGGGGCAGGTGGAGCTGATTACAGGAACCTGTTGGCTGCTGGGAGACACCGCCTGGTGGACACTAAAATTACAGCTTTCTGCCCAGAGAACCACAGGGCCACCAACAGGTGAATCAGGTTCTGATACAGATTCTTCGATCCATACAAATGAGGTGGCTAAAGGAACACCAATTTCCCCCGGTACATTTTTTGTAACAGTGGCACTAGATACTATCAGTATATACTAATTAGTGATTGCAGCTGATTGGCTGCAGCCACTGATTAATGAACATTTTTTCCATCATCTCGACCAAACAATTGACTTCCTCTCTTCCCCCAAATCCCCCCAGCATTAATTCTCTTTCCCCCATATCCCTCTCCTCCTAGCACAAATTATCCCTCTCTCAAATCCCTTCAACCAAGACTTAAGTCATTTTGGAACAGGAAGTTGCCATCCCCAAACTGTTCCCACAAAGTTGGGAGCATGAAATTTTCCAAAATGTCTTGGTATGCTGACGCCTTTAAGAGTTCCCTTCACTGGAACTAAGGGGCCAAGCCCAACCCCTGAAAAGCAACCCCACACCATAATCCCCCCTCCACCAAACTTTACACTTGGCACAATGCAGTCAGGCAAGTATCGATCTCCTTTCAAACCGCAACCCCAAAACACAGACACGTCCATTGGATTGCCAGATAGAGAAGCGTGATTCGTCACTCCAGAGAACACGTCTCCACTGCTCTAGAGTCCAGTAGCGGCATGCTTTACACCACTGCATCTGATGCTTTGCATTGCACTTGGTGATGTAAGGCTTGGATGCAGCTGCTCGGCCATGGAAACCATGAATACCATGAAGCTCTCTGCGCACTGTTGTGCTAATCTGAAGGCCACACAAAGTTTGGAGGTCTTTAGCCATTGACTCTGCAGACAGTTGGTGACTTCTGCGCACTGTGTGCTTCAGCATGTGCTAACCCCTCTTTGTCATTTTATGTTGCTTACCACTTCATGGCTGAGTTGCTTCCACTTTGTTATAATACCACTAACAGTTGACTGTGGAATATTTAGTAGCAAGGAAATGTCATGGATGGACTTATTGCACAGGTGACAACCTATCACAGTACCACACTTGAATTCACTGAGCTCCTGAGAGCGACCCATTCTTTCACAAATGTTTGTAGAAGCAGTCTGCATGCATAGGTGCTTGATTTTATACACCTGTGGCCATGGAGGTGATTGGAACACCTGAATCCAATGATTAGGAGGGGTGTCCCAATACTTTGGCAATATAGTGTATAACATACCTCTTTAAAGGGACCTGGTCCCCAGACCTAAGATTTAATCTTTTTCTCTTTACCATTTCCAGTGTTTAAAGTGTACATACATTTGACCAATTTGCTTTGTTACCACATTTATCAGTATACCACTGTAGTGAACACTTATTGAACCCACACTTCAATTTTTTATTGCAGTTTTTACCCTCAAGTAATTTTTAACCATGTGAATACCGTGCTATATCTGAAAGATGGCTACAGCGTGGTTGTGTAGTTCTGGGAGGGCATCCATGGACGTCCTCCCAGAAGCCCATCTTCTGCATGGCCCCGAGGCACACATCGGGCATTCTCTGTGACCATTGTGTCCTTTAGACACTGCTGATCACAGACTGAGAGGTAAAGGGCCAATCACAGTGGCCCTTTACCATGTCATCAGCTGTGTCCAGCAGTGTGGGGTTGAACAAAGCACTCCAAAACAATACAATATAAAGTTGCTTACATGTAAAGCTGCTGCCAACCCTGGATCTCGCAGCAACATGTAAGAAACTTTATATTGTATTGTTTCAGGGTGCTTTTAGCCTTAATATTAACCGCTTGAGCCCCAGCCACTGCATGAAAACGTTTGCAGGGCGGCACGGCTGCGCAAAACCACGTTTTAAAACGTAGTTTTGCAAAACAGGTAGGGGGCGCGCTCGAGGGTCGTGCCCGCCCTACCTGTCCCGCGGGTGTCAGCAGCGTGTCTCAGCCGCCGGGTCACGGCCGGTCATTACCGGCCATTTCCCCGCGATTAGCGGTAATCGCTGACAGAGAGCAGGGCTGCATTGTTTACACACAGCCCTGCTCTCTGTCAGTTGCCTGTCAGCTCCTGACAAGCTGAAGAGGGAGAGAAGAGTTTCCCTCTCTCGATCAGCCTGTCCCTGCCCAGCACACACCCCCGCCCCCTAGTAAAACACTCCCCTCACACAGTTAACCCTTTCAGTGAAAAAAAAAAAAAAAATGTTAACCCCTTCCTCCCCAGTGCCATTAGTACAGTGTCTGTGGTTTTTTTTTTTTCACTGATCACTGTATTGGTGTCACTGGGGATGTCAGTGACCCCAAGTCAGTTCCCCCCCAGAGTCAAAATGTCCGCCGCAGTCCCGCAGTCCTGCCATAAGTCGCTGATCGGCGGCATAAGTTGCTAATCGCCGCCATATGTCGCTGATCGCCGCCATTATTAGTATAAAAAAAATTAAAAATCCCAGTATCTTTCCCGCCATTTGTAAACGCTATAACTTTCATGTAAACCAATTAATTTACACGTATTGGGGTTTTTTTTTTAGCAGAGACATGTCACAGAATGCATTTTGGATGAAATTTGTGACAAAATTAGATTTTTTTTTTACTGGACATGTTTTATAGCAAAAAGTCCAAAATATTGTTTTTTTTTTTCTCAAAATTGTCAGTCTTTTTTTATAGCGCAAAAAATTAAAAAACGCACAGGCCATCAAATACCACCGAAAGAAAGCTCAATTTGTGAGAAAAAAAGGATGTAAATTTAATTTAGGTGCAGTGTTGCATGACCGCGCAATTGTCAGTTAAATTAACGCAGTGCCGTAACACAAACCTCTTCTGTAACCGCTTCCTGACCACCCTACAGCAGAAATACTGGTACAGGGCGGCATGGGTACGCAAAATCACATATATATATATATATATATATATATATATATGTGATTCGCGCTCCCGTGGTTTTCACACCCCTCCCAAATAGCGTCAGATTGCCTGTCAGTACACCAGTCATCACATTTAACCCCTTGATTGCCAGGAGCATGCTCATGTACAATAAACCTCCATTGCTAGTATAGTGTCTGAACGGGTCAATATCTTTGATCAGGTCAGCACTATACTAGCGTTCACATTAGTATAGCATCATCCCAAAAACGCAGCGTTAGCGGGATCAGCCCCGGCACCTGCCAACACCTGTGTTTAGCCCCTACGCTTACCCCCCCTTCTCCCCCAGCAAGTGCAGTGTCAAGTAGGTCACTGTCACTTGATACATTGCACACAAAACCGCAGTGTTCGCAGAATTAGGCCTGATCTGTTAGCACTTGCAGGTAAATTTTGATGACTCTCATATGCAGCAGAGTGCCAGTACTAGTGCCCCTCTACCTTTTGGTGAACTGGCGAGTACCAGCGGTCTAGTACATCCTGGTCTTTCACATACCTCCTTGATTTTTGGAGCTGTTTTTCACGGAATATCTGTATGCGTTGATTGTGGATCAAAGCAGTCTATATGCACAACAATTTATCGCCGCCAACTCAATTTTCAAACCTTGCCAGACCATTCGCATGGAAACTCATTACGGTTTTCAAATTTACATTTTTTTTGGGCCTAACCCTTAACATGGGCATTACTAAAAGAAATGAATTGCGGTTGTATTGGTCCGCAGACCCGATTCATCATGTGCCGTGTTCTCTGCTGCCATGGCCAGGCATAGATATGAGAGTATAATGTGTTTTATGCATTTCAGTGACAATACACTCTGTCATCCTCGGGGTAACCCTGAATTTGACTGGCTCCACAAAATTCAGCCCCTCGCAAATCACCTTAACCTAAAATTTGCAGATGTCTATACTCCCCAGCAAAACATCTGCGTTGAGGAGTCCCTTATTAAATTTTCTGGCCGCCTTGCAGTCAAACAATTTCTCCCCTGCAAGCGTGCCAGAGATGGGGTCAAGAAGTAGAAGACCTGCCGGGAGACAGGAGAGAGCTGGAGTCGGAGGAGGAGTGGGGCTGCCAGGGAGACACCAGTGAGTCGAATGAGACAGGGGAGAAGCGCCGACACGTGGGCAAAAGTGGAGGAGCTCTGGGAGATCCGGCTGTGGGAGAGATTGCCTGGCGTCTGAACAGGTGGAAGAGGCGGAGAAGGTAAAACAGCATGCTGTTTTTACATTCCAACATCTCCATACCATCTTCCTGAGCCCTCAATTCTCCCTACCTCCATACCATACCTGCATCAACCACCTCCTACAGCTTTACAGCCTTACACCACTGCTACAACACAGCTAATCCCCCAACATATATACCTCTCCCAATCTCTAATCTCCATCTACCAGCATACCACATACAATTTAGGAGCATTTGATGGGAAGACAAGTGACCTGAGTTATATGAGACCTATAGGAATCCCCTTAAGAGGATACAACGATAAAAGAGGACTGCTTCTGGAGTGATATGCCAATGTGAAGGGTGAGTGATTACCGTGGGTTTACCCTGCTGTTCTTCTTCTACACTCTTTATATTTTGGACCTGTATATTGGAGCTATATACATATTGAATCCTTGTATTAGATCTCCAGATATTTGTAGCAAGACATTGTATTAAATACTCAACCGGAGAATAAAAGAAATAGGGGATTCCTAGGGCGGGTCTGAAGATTGGGAGGAGTAAGAGTCCAGGAGTTCTGGAAATAAGAGTAATCATGAAAGGTAAAAATACCAAAGGGAGCGGGACTAAGACCTCCCAAACTGGTACGATTAAGAAGTATGTGTCACAAGGAAATGTTACCCCAGAAAGAACTCAGGGAATAACTGAAAAAAGTGAATTGGATTTAAGTTTGGACAATAGCCCGAGACTCTCCCTGGGCCCGGGTATATAATAGTCAACAATTAACGGATGGCACTGACCCGAGAGATTTTGAAAGAGATATGCAAATACCAAATAAAAAAGATATGGCGGAGATGTTTAAAGGCCTGGAAAAATCAATGAAGCATGAAACGGGGATGATTCGGGAAGAACTGGGACGATTGTTAACTAGGGTGGAAGAAATGGAGGAAAAAGTTCAAATTTATACCCAAACCATCCCAAAACTAGAAAAATGGATATTAGAAGATAGAAAAGAACAAAAGAGATTGTGTTATATGATGGAAGATCAAAGAAATAGAGAAAGGAGAAATAATCTCAGAGTAAAAGGAGTCCGGAACTGTTACAGGGGGAGACTTAAAAGATTTAAAAGAATTAACTGGCAAAATTTTGAACTCCATAATGGATAAATCGGACGAGGAGATGTTTAAATTGGACGGAGTTTATAGGATTGGGAAGTATCAACAAGAAAAAGGGATGGAAAAACCAAGAGATATAATTGTTAAATTCCATAATTATGGAGATAGAGAAGATATATGGAAAAAGATTAAAGGAAAAACAAATATTACATATGGAGGAAAAAATATTCAAATTTTTGCAGACTTAACACCAGAGACTCTGAGAAGGAAGAGATCACTGAAACCCCTACTAGAAGTGATGAAAAAACAGAATGTGAAATATAGATGGGGCCGTGATATAAGTTTGATCGGGTGGAGATGGTATTACAGCGATCTTAAGATTTCCGGAAAGATATGGAAGATTTCTGTGACAAACTTGGATTGCAGAGAGAAATGATACCGGGTTGGAAGTGGAGGAGGCGAGTCGAACCCCTATAGAGGGATCAAAAGGTGGAATATGATCCAAAGGCAAAGGAGGCCTGGGGGGTGGGGGGGAGTTGGGAGGGTGGGGGGAGAGGAGGGTCAGGGGGGGAGGGTTAGGGAGGGATGGGTTTTGGGGTGGGAGAGGCAGATTTGGTGGGAGGGAGCGCGGGGTGGGAGGAGGTATTGGGTCAATACTCTGCATGACAGAAGGGATAAAGTGGAAGAGGCAATTTGGAAGAGAGATGGAGTTGAGTTGATTGGGAAAGATGGAAGAAATACAGTTTATAACCTATAATGTGAACGGGCTGAGTAGTCCAGGGAAGAGATTTAGGTTGTTCAATGAGTTACATCATAGGGCTACGTCAGTGGTATTTTTACAGGAGACGCATTTTGTGATAGAGGCAAACGTGAAATTGAAATCCAAATACTACCCAACATGGTATTATGCAGATTCTCCAACTAAAAGAGCAAAAGGGG